CCTCGCATTATATTGTGTGCTTTAACGAGGCTCTCAGGTTGCGTGCGTGTGCGTGCGTGCTCACGCAAGCGTGGCAAAGCGTCGGGTTGTTCAGGGTTATTCTTCACGTCAATCACCTGGGTTGAATACGTGGTTGATGGGGTTCTGGGAGCTTGGTCCACCAGGCTGTTGCTTGGAGCGGCCCGCAGGCCCACATATACCTGCTTGATGGGGTTCTGGGAGTTTGGTCCAACAGGCTGTTGCTTGGAGCGGCCCGCAGGCCCACATATACCTGGTTGATGGGGTTCTGAGAGTTTGGTCCACCAGGCTGTTGCTTGGAGCGGCCCGCAGGCCCACATATACCTGGTTGATGGGGTTCTGAGAGTTTGGTCCAACAGGCTGTTGCTTGGAGCGGCCCGCAGGCCCACATATACCTGCTTGATGGGGTTCTGGGAGTTTGGTCCAACAGGCTGTTGCTTGGAGCGGCCCGCAGGCCCACATATACCTGATTGATGGGGTTCTGGGAGTTTGGTCCAACAGGCTGTTGCTTGGAGCGGCCCGCAGGCCCACATATACCTGCTTGATGGGGTTCTGGGAGTTTGGTCCACCAGGCTGTTGCTTGGAGCGGCCCGCAGGCCCACATATACCTGCTTGATGGGGTTCTGGGAGTTTGGTCCACCAGGCTGTTGCTTGGAGCGGCCCGCAGGCCCACATATACCTGGTTGATGGGGTTCTGGGAGTTCTTCTACTGCCCAAGCCCGGCCCGAGGCCAGGCTTGACTTGTGAGAGTTTGGTCCACCAGGCTGTTGCTTGAAGCGACCCGACCACCCAACCACTTGGGGTGGACGGTAGAGCGACGGGTCTGGCGTCATGCAGGTCTGGGTTCAATCCCCGACAGTCCCAACAAGTTGCTGGCCACCATTCCTTCCCTCCGTCCCATCCCAAATCCTTATCCTGACCCCTTCCCAGTGCTATATAGTCGTGGTGGCTTGGTGCTTTCCCCTGACAGTTCCCTCTCTCGCCAAGATAACCTACAGAGATAACATCTATATTACGATAGCATAAATTTGACTAAAAGGGCGTGTATTAAAAGGTTTAGTCGATTATATTAAGATCGACATATCAGTTTTTTTCATGTTATTTCTAACCACAGACGTGGCCAGGCATTTACACTGCTAACCACCATATATACATTTTCTACCACAGACGTGGCCAGACATTTACAATGCTAACCAGCACATATATACATTTTCTCCTGTCCTCCATGGACAGGGTGAGAGATCTGTTCAACAGGTAGTTCAGTAATTTATTGAACAATCACTATAGGTGATTGTAGTGCTTTTAAAATGCTAATCTACCCTACAGATATAAATACATACATTTATCTCTGTCCTAAATAGTGTCAAAATGACACTATTTAGGACACATGTGTCAAGACACATGAAAACTTTGTAGTGCTTTGTAAACACACATGTGTCAAAATGACACATGTGTGTTTACAAAGGTGGAATACAATTCTGATCAGCTTCCACATATCCTGTATACACATACATACACATACATACATGTCTCTCAGGGTGAGATAGCTGCTATAGAAATTACTATGTTCTTAAACACTTAACCACTGAAGGTGATTAAGAGGCATTTACAAGCTCAGGTTATAGGTACAATACATTGTATAACAGATGCATTACGTATTGTATAGGTACAATATATTGTATAAGAGATGTATTACGTATTGTATAGGTACAATACATTGTATAACAGATGTATTACGTATTGTATAGGTACAATACATTGTATAACAGATGCATTACGTATTGTATAGGTACAATACATTGTATAGCAGATGTATTACGTATTGTATAGGTACAATACATTGTATAATTGATGCATTATATGGTCAATCTTGGGTACAAGTCCAATATATCATCAAGTGTTCCAATAGTTACAGAGTTCATCATACCTGAGCCCAGGAGGGCGAAAATCAGTCATTATAGAACATTATACAATATAATGTTCAAGGGAGTGCATGTTTTTTTTCTCTCTCTCTCTCTGCTGCTTCCTGGGGGCCTCCACCCCCAGGAAGCAGCCCGTGGCAGCTGTCCAACTCCCAGGTACGTATTTAATGCTAGGTGAACAGACCCATCAGGGTGAAAGAAACTATCCATTTGTTTCCGCTTCTAGGAACCCTAGGACTACGAATACGGAGTGCTGTCCACTCAGCCGTCAAGCCCTTGTGTATGAAACCATTGCAGTTTCAACAAAAACCTCCCCCGCCTGACGGCTGAGTAGACAGCGTTCGGGATTCGTAAACCTAAGGTTCCGAGTTCGATCCCCGGTGCCGGCGGAAATAGGCAGTCTTTGTTAACAGTTATTTTGTCTTTATTGGTAAAGAAAATATTGTAAAATAAAGTAACTGACAATATTTTTTCTTTCTGTCCGACAGTCGATGTGTCGGCCAAATCGTGGGACAGTTGCCGGGTACTTCCTGGCGGGCCGGGTGGTGTGGTGGCTCCCGGTGAGTGTCTTGACTGTTGCTGTTGGCCTCTTGCATCCCACTACCCCTGCCCCCCCCCACACACCAGATACACCCCCCCTTCTATCCATAAGTTTCTCAGTGAATTAAATCTATTGATTTTGTTAAGGGAGGTTGAGGGCGCCCTGCGCGCCATCTGGTGGGCGACGAGCGTACTAGACTTGTAAACAAATGCTTCTGACACTAACCCAGGCTTACCCAGGCTTACCCAGTCTTACCCAGGCTTACCCAGGCTTACCCAGGCCTACCCAGGCTTACCCAGGCTTACCCAGGCCTACCCAGGCTTACCCAGGCCTACCCAGGCCTACCCAGGCCTACCCAGTCTTACCCAGTCTTACCCAGGCTTACCCAGGCTTACCCAGTCTTACCCAGTCTTACCCAGGCTTACCCAGGTTTACCCAGGCCTACCCAGGCCTACCCAGGCTTACCCAGGCTTACCCAGGCTTATTTAGGCTTACCTAGGCTTACCCATTTACAAAACTCATCAAATTAGGCTTAGGCTAGGCACCTAGCACATATAAAAATAAATGTATATATGTGTTTCACCTATTGGGTTTACACCTGTTGAATATTTTCAATCATGTACAGGTGTTATTGTGGTCGTAATTGTCCTGGGTGGTGGGTGGTTAGTGAGTGGGTGGTGGGGTGGTTAGTGAGTGGTGGGTGGTGGGGGGGTTAGTGAGTGATGGGTGGTGGGGGTGGGTTAGTGAGTGGTGGTGGGGTGGTGGGTGGGTGTGTGTGGGTGGTGGGGTGGTGGGTGAGTGATGGGTGGTGGGTGGTTGGTGAGTGATGGGTGGTGGGGTGGTTAGTGTGATGGGTGGTGGGGTGGTTAGTAGTGTGGTGGGTGGGGTGGTTAGTGGGTGTGGGTGTGGGGTGGTTAGTGGGTGGGTGGTGGGTGGTGAGTGATGGGTGGGTGGGTGGTGAGTGATGGGTGGTGGGTGGTTAGTGGGTGGTGGGTGGTGGGGGTGGGTGATGGGTGGTGGGGTGGTGGGTGATGGGGGTGGGGGTGGTTAGTGAGTGATGGGTGGTGGGTGGTTAGTGAGTGATGGGTGGTGGGGGTGGTTAGTGAGTGGGTGGTGGGGTGGTTAGTGAGTGATGGTGGTGGTGGGGTTGGTGAGTGATGGGTGGTGTGGTGGGTAGTGAGTGATGGGTGGTGGGGTGTAGTGAGTGATGGGTGGTGGGGTGGTTAGTGAGTGATGGGTGGTGGGGTGGTTAGTGAGTGATGGGTGGTGGGGGGTGGGTAGTGAGTGATGGGTGGTGGGTGGTTAGTGAGTGATGGGTGGTGGGTGGTGGTTAGTGATGGGTGGTGGGGTGGTTAGTGGTGGGTGGTGGGGTTAGTAGTGAGTGGTGGGTGGTGGGGTGGTTAGTGAGTGATGGGTGGTGGAGTGGTTAGTGAGTGATGGGTGGTGGGTGGTTAGTGAGTGATGGGTGGTGGGGTGGTTAGTGAGGGTGGGGGGTGGTTAGTGGTGGGTGGTGGGTGGTTAGTGAGTGATGGGTGGTGGGGTGGTTAGTGAGTGATGGGTGGGTGGTGGGTGGTTAGTGAGTGATGGGTGGTGGGGTGGTTAGTGAGTGGGTGGTGGGGGTGGTTGGTGAGTAGTGAGTGGTGGGTGGTTAGGAGTGGTGGGTGGTGGGGTGGTTGGGTGGGTGGTGGTGGGTGAGTGATGGGTGGTGGGGTGGGTAGTGAGTGTGGTGGGGTGGGTGGTGAGTGATGGGTGGTGGGGTGGTTAGTGAGTGATGGGTGGTGGGTGGTTAGTGAGTGATGGGTGGTGGGTGGTTAGTGAGTGATGGTGTGGTGGTTAGTGAGTGTGGGTGGTGGTGGTGGTGAGTGATGGGTGGTGGGGGTGGGTAGTGAGTGATGGGTGGTGGGTGGTTAGTGAGTGATGGGTGGTGGGTGGTTAGTGAGTGATGGGTGGGTGGGTGGTTAGTGAGTGATGGGTGGTGGGGTGGTTAGTGAGTGATGGGTGGTGGTGGTTAGTGAGTGATGGGTGGTGGGTGGTAGTAGTGGTGGGTGGTGGTGGTTAGTGATGGGTGGTGGGTGGTTAGTGATGGGTGGGGGGGTTAGTGAGTGATGGGTGGTGGGGTGGGTAGTGAGTGGTGGGTGGTGGGTGGTTAGTGAGTGATGGGTGGTGGGGTCGTTAGTGAGTGATGGGTGGTGGGGTGGTTAGTGAGTGATGGGTGGTGGTGGTTAGTGAGTGATGGGTGGTGGGGTGGTTAGTGAGTGATGGGTGGGGGTGGTGGGTGAGTGATGGGTGGTGGGGTGGTTAGTGAGTGATGGGTGGTGGGTGGTTAGTGAGTGATGGGTGGTGGGGTGGTTAGTGAGTGATGGGTGGTGGGTGGTTAGTGATGGGTGGTGGTGTGGTTAGTGATGGGTGGTGGGGTGGTTAGTGAGTGATGGGTGGTGGGTGGTTAGTGAGTGATGGGTGGTGGGGTGGGTAGTGAGTGATGGGTGGTGGGGTGGTTAGTGAGTGATGGGTGGTGGGGTGGTTAGTGATGGGTGGTGGGGTGGTTAGTGAGTGATGGGTGGTGTGGTGGTTAGTGAGTGATGGGTGGTGGGTGGTTAGTGAGTGATGGGTGGGTGGTGGTTAGTGAGTGATGGGTGGTGGGGTGGTTAGTGAGTGATGGGTGGTGGGGTGGTTAGTGATGGGTGGTGTGGTGGTTAGTGAGTGATGGGTGGTGGGGTGGTTAGTGAGTGATGGGTGGTGGGGTGGTTAGTGATGGGTGGTGGGGTGGTTAGTGAGTGATGGGTGGTGGGGTGGTTAGTGAGTGGTGGTTGGTGGGGTGGATGGTGAGTGATGGGTGGTGGGTGGGTAGTGAGTGATGGGTGGTGAGGTGGTTAGTGAGTGATGGGTGGTGGGGTGGTTAGTGAGTGATGGGTGGTGGGGTGGTGGTTAGTGATGGGTGGTGGGTGGTGGTGGGTGGTGGTAGTGAGTGTGGTGTGGTGGTGGGTGGTGAGTGATGGGTGGTGGGTGGTTAGTGAGTGATGGGTGGTGGGTGGTTAGTGAGTGATGGGTGGGTGGGTGGTTAGTGAGTGATGGGTGGTGGGGTGGTTAGTGGGTGGTGGGTGGTAGTGAGTGATGGGTGGTGGGGTGGTTAGTGAGTAGTGGGTGGTGGGTGGTTAGTGAGTGATGGGTGGTGGGGTGGTTAGTGAGTGATGGGTGGTGGGGTGGTTAGTGAGTGGTGGTGGGGGTGGTTAGTGAGTGATGGGTGGTGGGGTGGTTAGTGATGGGTGGTGGGGTGGTTAGTGAGTGATGGGTGGTGAGGTGGTTAGTGAGTGATGGGTGGTGGGTGGTTAGTGAGTGATGGTTGGTGGGGTGGTTAGTGAGTGATGGGTGGTGAGGTGGTTAGTGAGTGATAGGTGGTGAGGTGGTTAGTGATGGGTGGTGGGGTGGTTAGTGGTGGGTGGTGGGGTGGTTAGTGATGGGTGGTGGGGTGGTTAGTGAGTGATGGGTGGTGGGGTGGTTAGTGAGTGATGGGTGGTGGGTGGTTAGTGAGTGATGGGTGGGTGGTGGTGGGTAGTGATGGGTGGGGGGGGTGGTTAGTGATGGGTGGGGGGTGGTGGTAGTGAGTGGGTGGTGGGGTGGGTGGTGAGTGTGGGTGGTGGGGTGGTTAGTGATGGGTGGTGGGGTGGTTAGTGAGTGATGGGTGGTGGGGTGGTTAGTGAGTGGTGGTGGGGTGGTTAGTGAGTGATGGGTGGTGGGGTGGTTAGTGAGTGATGGGTGGTGGGGTGGTTAGTGAGTGATGGGTGGTGGGGTGGTTAGTGAGTGATGGGTGGTGGGGTGGTTAGTGAGTGATGGGTGGTGGGGTGGTAGTGAGTGATGGGTGGTGGGGTGGTAGTGAGTGAGTGTGGGTGGTGGGTGGTTTGTGAGTGATGGGTGGTGGGGTGGTTAGTGAGTGATGGGTGGTGAGGTGGTTAGTGAGTGATGGGTGGTGGGGGTGGTTAGTGAGTGATGGGTGGTGGGGTGGTTAGTGAGTGATGGGTGGTGGGTGGTTAGTGAGTGATGGGTGGTGGGGTGGTTAGTGAGTGATGGGTGGTGGGTGGTGAGTGTGGGTGATGGGTGGTGATGGGTGGTGGGGTGAGTGATGGGTGGTGGGGTGGTTAGTGAGTGATGGGTGGTGGGGTGGTGGTGTGGTAGTGGTGGGTGGTGGGGTGGGTAGTGAGTGATGGGTGGTGGGGTTAGTGAGTGATGGGTGGTGGGGGTGGTTAGTGAGTGATGGGTGGTGGGGTGGTTAGTGAGTGATGGGTGGTGGGTGGTTAGTGAGTGATGGGTGGTGGGGTGGGTTAGTGATGGGTGGTGGGGTGGTTAGTGAGTGGGTGGGTGGTGGGTGGTTAGTGAGTGATGGGTGGTGGGGTGGTTAGTGAGTGATGGGTGGTGGGGTGGTTAGTGATGGGTGGGGTGGTGGGTGGTGGTGGTGAGTGATGGGTGGTGGGGTGGTAGTGAGTGATGGGTGGTGGGGTGGTTAGTGAGTGATGGGTGGTGGGTGGTTAGTGAGTGATGGGTGGTGGGGTGGTAGTGAGTGATGGGTGGTGGGTGGTTAGTGAGTGATGGTGGGTGGTGGGTAGTGAGTGATGGGTGGTGGGGTGGTTAGTGAGTGATGGGTGGTGGGGTGGTTAGTGAGTGATGGGTGGTGTGGTGGTAGTTAGTGATGGGTGGTGGGGGTGGTTAGTGAGTGATGGGTGGTGGGTGGTTAGTGAGTGATGGGTGGTGGGTGGTTAGTGAGTGGGTGGTGGGTGTTAGTGAGTGATGGGTGGTGGGGTGGTTAGTGAGTGATGGGTGGTGGGGTGGTTAGTGAGTGATGGGTGGTGGGGTGGTTAGTGAGTGATGGGTGGTGGGGGGTTAGTGAGTGATGGGTGGTGGGGTGGTTAGTGAGTGATGGGTGTGGGGTGGGTAGTGAGTGATGGGTGGTGGGGTGGTTAGTGAGTGATGGGTGGTGGGTGGTAGTGAGTGAGGGTGGGTGGTTAGGTGGTGGGTGAGTGATGTGGG